TCACCTAGGCAGCCTCAGGGACTTGTTCCAATATAGGTTTTACTACCATGACAGAGATTAAACAAAACAGTATTTTAAAACACAAGATAGAAGTGAATTTCTCTGTCACATAATGATCCAGGATTGTTTGGGGTCTCTTCCTTTACAGGGGTTCAGATTCCTCCTGTGAAACCCAGAGGTTTCACATGTAATTTAAATTCACATCCCATTTGTCGGGATTAGTAACATGGCTCATCTCGGAGCAAGGGGATAGCTGGGAAATGTAATTATGTTAGTCTGTTTTCATGCTGCTAATAAAGACATACCTGAGACTGGGAAATTTACAAAGGAAAGAGGTTTAATGGACTCACAGTTCCACATGGCTGGGGAGACCTCATAATCATGGTAGAAGGCAAGGAGGACCAAGTCACGTCTTACAGGATGGCAAAAGGCAGCGAGAGAGCTTGTGCAGGAAAACTCTCCCTTATAAAACCATCAGGTTTCATGAGACTTATTTGCTCTCATGAGAACAGCACGAGAAAGACCTGCCCCCATGGTTCAATTACCTCCTACCAGGTCCCTCCCACAACACGTGGGAATTCAAGATGAGATTTGTGTGGGGACACAGCCAAACCATTTCGTTAATCTTCATTCTGAATAGCCTTGCATCCAGGTAAATTTCTATCCCTATGGAAGAAGACAGAATGGATATTGGCGGGCAGCCTGAAGTCTCAACCTTATCTCCTAACTGGCTTCCCTGCTCCTGGCCTCAACTAATTTGTCCTTTTCCTCAACTCATAACAAAAGCAAGCTGGTCATACCTTTTGTCCGCTCAAAAATATTCAACAAGCTCCTCTCTATTGACAGATAAACTTTTAGCTCCCAGGGTGGACTGAATGGTCTGTATGTTCTGGTTCCTGCCCAAGTTACCTCCTATTTTGGTCCCTTTGGTACCTTACTTTCTAACTGCACTCTGGCATTTTTTAGTGAATAAAATGGGGTTTATTGCTTCAGCACGTTAGTACATGCTACTGTTTCTTTAGGGATGGTATTCCACCTGATGAATTTCTAGTTGACTTAAAAACCTAAGCTCAGAAGTCATTTCCATGAGGAAATCTTTGTTAACCTTCCGTCTCCCACAACTAACTAAGATAATTAATTGGTCACTTATTGCTACCTCATAGGTGCACTTGCCTATTTTTGCCTTTAATATATTATGTAGTCATTTATTCACGTACTTATCATCTCTTTCACATCATGAACATGATCGGATTCAACTCAGATATCCTCAGAGCTCAGTACGGTGCTTGCTACCGAGCAGTGGACGGTGAAAGAGAGTAAAGTAGAGTTTTGTATGGTATCATATGCTAGAAAGAATATTGGACCAGCAGTTACTGGGCTCTCCTGCCATCCTGTAATTTATTAGCCTGAGTGACCAAGGACATATCACCTTCCCTCTCTGGGCTTCAGCTTTCTCATCCTTAATAGGAGGGTTGGCTCAATCATCCCTAAGTTTCTACCAAATCTAAAAGTTAGTAATTTTCTTATTTTTCTAATATAGCAAGTTGAAATGTAACCCTCCTCCACACCAATATGTTACATTCACACAGCTGTGATTTTGCTAAAAATGGACACTTTCTAAATGTTAAAACAGTACATGTTAGAGAATAGTCAATTTAGATCCAAAAATCCTCACTCCGCTAAAGGATAAACACGAAAGCTCTGGATCCCACTCAGTATTAAACCATTCCAGAATGGAGGATGTGAAATGGCATTGTTTAACAGACTGTATCCAGATATATTTGCCTACCAAATGCATTTTGGATCTGAAAGTGTTGTAATTTAAATGCAGCTAACAAATGCACCATGGATTCTCTCTATGACATGGGTCCATAATATGGGGAATTCTATACAACTCCTTTGTGTTGCCTTTTATTTATTGAATTGCATTGGGAATCTTGAAGGGTCTCAGTAACACCATTCTTTTCCATCTGAGCTCTGAAACAATTGAAAAGAAGTCAAAGTTGTTTAGCAGATGGAGATAAGCATATCATCTTTATTGGTGTTAAAGATAATATGGAAAAGTATGGTTTACATTTGTAGCCAAGACAGTTTCCTAGTATTGAGCCCTAGAATTAGACAGACATCCCCCAGCCTGCCTAGATTAGGGTAAACTTGTTCCCTAGCAAATGCATGAATTAAGCATGCTCAGTTTCTCCTTACAAACTCACCATGGCAGGGACCGCTACCTCTTCCCTCAAATCTCTTCTCTCCTTCTTCTTCAGGAATACAACTTCCACTTTCTAGAGGGGCATGGCAACTCCCCAGAATAAGACTACATTTCCCAGTCACCTTTGCAGTTAGGTGTGGCCATATGGCTTAGTTTAAGAGGACAGAAGTGAGGGAAGTGTTGTGCTCAATTTTTAGGCAGAGTAAAGACATATGCTTTTCTCCCTGGTTTTTCTTCTTCCTTCTGACGAGAATGTGGATCTGGGGTGTCCATTCCGGATCATGAAATGGAAACTGGAATTTGTGGATGACAAGCAAACTGAAAAGAACCTGTGGCCCTGGAGACATCATACTATCCCTAGATGGCTTACCTCAAAGTTTATTTATGGGAGAGAGATTACCTTTTTATTTTTTTAATTATTATTATTTTTGAGACGGAGTTTCACTCTTGTCACCCAGGCTGGAGTATAGTGGCATGATCTCGGCTCACTGCAACCTCCACCTCCCGGGTTCAAGTGATTCTCCTGCCTCAGCCTCCCAAATACCTGGGATTATAGGTGCTTGCCACCACGCCTGGCTAATTTTTGTACTTTTAATAGAGGCGGGGTTTCACAATGTTGGCCAGGTTGGTCTTGAACTCCTGATCTCAAGTGATTCATCCGCCTTGCCCTCCCAAAGTGCTGGGATTATAATTGTAAGACACTGTGCCTGGCCAGAGAAGACCTTTATCTTGTTTAAGTCACTATTATTTGGAGTTTCCTGTCCCTTAAGACTGGCATTCCTTAGCTTTCCTTTCTCTATCAACTTATTTACCTTGAGATTTGCTTTTCAGTCAGTTAGTATTATAGTGCTAAGATTCACCCGTATTGATATATGTTTTTATAATCCATTCATTTAAACTCTACTTAATATTCCATTAAGTGAATTTTTATACGATGAATTAATTCACTCTCATGTTGATGGACAGTTGAATTGTTTCTAGATTTTTTGCTACTGTGAAAATGCTGATGCAGACAGTTTTGCACATGTCTCTTGTTGGTGTATAAGAATACATTTTGAGGATATACGTAGGAGTGAAATTTCTGGGTCACAGGGTATAGGAATTTCAACTTTAGTAGAGAATGTCAAATTTTTCTAAATTCACATTTCTATGAGCAACATATAGATCCTGTGGCTCTATTTTATCTCTTGGCATAGATTGATTTTTACATTTTTGCCTGAAAAAGGCATGGGAATTTGTACCCCATTCTGGCCTTAATTTGCATTTCCCAGCTCTCTGATAATGTTCAACACCTCTTTGAATGTTTGCAAGCCATGTGTTTCATCTGCAGAACATCTGCCCATGGATTTCCCTATTTCTTATTGAATTGTTTGTCTTATTTTAATATTTATGTGTAGGCATTATTTAGACATCCAGCTTTACTTTTCTTGCCAGAAATATAAAGGAATTGGGGAAGATGCTTGTTAAGTTCCTTCATCTGTAAATTGGGATAATCATTCTTGCCATGCTTACTTTTCAAAGCTGATGCAAAGATCAAATGAAAAAATGTATGTGAAAGCACTCTGTACACTAAAAAGGAAGGAATGCTTTGTTTTAGGGTAAATAAGCCTGATAAGTTGTAAATATGGAAACATCCAACTTTGAATTGAGAGGCAATTTAGTGTGGTGATTAAACACATGGATGGTTGCGCCAGGTTGCCTGGGTCCAAACCTTCACTCCAGCAGATAATAATGATGTGAACTTAGGTGATTTATTTAACCTCCATGTCTCAATTTCCTTATGTAACAAATGAGAGATAGTCATAGTCTCTACCTCAAATAGATTTTTAATAGGATAGAATGAATTAATATATAGATAAGACTAAGAACAGTATCTAGCAAATAATAAGCACTATATTAACACCTGTTGAGAGCATTACTTGACTTGGATTTCCACAGTTCCTGCTGAATGTTCTGCGAATCAAATTCAGAACCATTACTTCCACACACTCCCATACGTGTACATTCTTTTCATATTGACCCATTTCTAACAGGTCAAAATAGTTTATTTTTTTCTTTCATGAATAACTCTTGAATATAGAGTTAGTGGCTGGTGGAAAAATATTAACTCAGGCCACTGAAGTATACATGTAATAATAGAATACAAATAATACATTATATAATAATAATATACCATAGAATGCATAATTCTGCCTCTAAGCTCTTGTTCTGGTTTAATAGCCTGTGATCCTGTAAGGGGTATTGAATTACTTATTCCAGACTGCATGAAGCATGACAACAAGGCATGATAGACCTTAAATTGCACTGCTTTGTTGAGCCTGAAATCACACTTGAGGCCATAGTTATTGTCCAAGTAAAATGGACTGCCAATTATTTGAATAAAGAGAAATGGTATTGTCTTATATTAGTTACCTTTTTTTTCCTCATTAATGAAGTTCATTTGGGCTCATTTGTCTGCCTTTTCTTTGTTCTGCTGCGACTTTCTTAAGACTACTGAACCCATAGATGGCTTTTATCCACTCCAGACAGACAGAAGGAGTCCGATTCTTCTAGTGAATGCATTTTTAGCAAGAATTAAAGCCTATGTATCTGCCTTTTGAAGCAGCTGGCATCCTGCAGCATTCAGAACCACCTGCATTCAGCCTTCAGGGACCTGGACTGCTTTGCTGATGGTTTAGCTATCAACGGAAGGTATAAACACTGCAGGTTGTGTATAAGCTTGAGAGGGTAGCTAATTATGCTAAACAAGAAATATTAATAATGCAAGATGTGCAAACAAAAACGCTCTTATCAATTTCAAGACATTATTCTTCCTTTCCTCTTCCTGCTCTCTCCCTCCCCACTCTCTTCTACTCATCTGAAGAACATAATAGTAGCAGAAGGTGGGGCTCTTCCAGCAGACACTGGATCCTAAAAAAGCAAGAGATGACAATGACAGTAAAATTACCCATCCTGAGAAAGAGAAACATCATTTTTATCTGTCTTGGAGCTGAGTTTTTATGAAAGGTTTAGAAACCAAAGCAGTGCAGAAACTGGAAGAAATTAAACAAAACTGGTAAAGGCTCTGACGGAGAGTCCAGTCAAGTGTTAGGATAGGGTCTTGTCAGAGACATCCTGGGTCACTTCCCTCCAGACCTGAATAAGGGGAGACTTGGCGTATGGAGAAGTAAGGGTTGGGTCCATTGGAAGGACAAACTCTTTTTTCCTGCCCTTGGAGTAAGAACGTCTGAATAAACATTTTTCAGGAGGCCCTGTCAGCTGATCTAAACTTAGTTCTCTTAAGCTAAGGCCCGCAAAACAGTCTTATGAGGTCATGGACAAGTATTCTGGTTATCTTTTGCTCTGTAACCAAATATCCCAAAACTTGTTGGCTAAAATAATGATTTATGATTCTCTGTTGATGGTTGATGGACTTGGTTTGGCAGTTCTTGTTGGGCTCTCTCACAAGATAGCTGCAGGGGCTGGCGTCGTCAGGAAGCCCAAGTGAACTAGATATCAGTGTGGCCTCGGTACTCACAGGTCCGGTCCCTGGTGCCCTTCCATGTGACAAATATGGCACAGCATCACCTCTGCCATGTTCTATTGTTCTAAACAGCGAAAGGCCAACCCAAATTCACCCAGAGAATGGAGTCACCTGTGGGTGCTAAGAGGAACCCAGTAGGAATAGGATGGGGGCTGCCTTTGGAGACAAACTACTGCACAGGTACCCACCCCTTGGGAAGTTTCCCACCAAACATACCCACAAAGAAGCACTGGAGACCTTTAGTGCTAGGCCTAGCAGGAATTCCTCGCTGGTGAACTGCTTTTCATCCTTTAGCTTTCAGCTAAAACATTACTTTCCCTACAATGACTGTCCAAGGCTCTGTCATTAAATTAGGTTTTCCAGCATTTTTACTTTATAGTATTTATCACAGTTTGTAATGACATATTTCTATGATTATTGATTTAACATATGTCTCCAGCACTGGACTGAATTCTCTGAGGGTGCTTTGCATGCTCCCCACTGATTCCCTGCACTTAACTTGGTGCTGGCTCTCAGTAAGACAACAGGCAAGAGTTATAGTGGAATGAAGACATAGGTGAGTGGTTAACATCAACATATCTGATCTTGCCAACCAGCTTCTATGGTTCACACAGAGATTTCTATAAAGAGGAGTCTCCCTTTCATTCATTGAGTATGTTTTAAAATCAAAATTTACCAAAAGAGAGAATTTCAGAGGCTTATGGATTCCAGATTAAGAACACCTAGTTTAGGTGTTACAGCATAAAACATACTGAACTTATATTTTTAGTTATATTATTTTGGATTTATTTAGAATGGCTGTGGAATGTCCTTCTTTGATGAGAAGATGAAAAACCTTTTACATCCTAGATGGTTATAATAATGTAAAAGCTAGAGTTTGTGTCAGAAGAGCTAGGATCTACAACAGGTTGAAAAGTTCATAAAATATTCCAAGCGTCAGGGTCAGAGTTTAGGGTATTTTACTTTAGGACCTGTTTGCATTTCAGATTATGCTTGCATTTCATGACAAACTAAACATACCCTTGAATCTGCTCTGAACATATTTCACATGAGTATTTATCTGAATGTGAATAAAATATAGAGCAGTTGCAAAATCATCCAGCAAGTATGAAGTTTTATTGTTTCACGTCAGTTGACCGTCACTCTGAGAATAAAACAGTGAGCACCTAATGCACTGAAGTAAGGAGTATGGATTTTGCTCTAAATGAAGCTATTGGAAGGTTTTCAGTCAGAGAGAGACAGGATCATACATTTTAAAGTAATATCCCAGGTGCTGAGTGGAGTTTAGACTATAGTTTATGAGTGAAGGAAGAAGACTAGCCAAGAAGCTACTGCAGTTGTCCAGGTGGGACTTAGAGGTAGCAGTCAAGACCAGGTGTGAATGACTAGAATAATGAAGGAATTTAAAATCATGTCACGTTTATATTTAAAAAGCCTGGAGATCCTTAGATGTTTCAACTGGGAATATGAGCGATGCCTTCAAATATATGATGGCTGCCATGTAAAGGATTAAAATTATTTCGAATTTCAAAAGGCAGAACCATGAGCAGAAACCACAGGGCATGAAATCCAGGCTCAGAATAATTTTATCTCTGAGCCATGCAGAGATGGAAGGGGCTTCCTGGGGAGCCTGTGAGTTCCCATCCCTGACTATGTTCCAGTAGGGGCTAGAGGACCTCTCAGAGAAAATGTGGTGGGTCTAGGGAGGGATCGTGGGACCAAATGATGCTTAGATGTCCTTTGGAGATTTGGGGAAATATGGCAGTAACGAGAGTTGTGGATATTCTCATTTTGGTGTTACACCAGTAAGATAGAGAAAATTAACAATCGTGTCACTCTTCTTGAAGCTTTTCAGAGAAGGACTCCTGAGTATTTGGCACAGAGCATATCCAAGGTTATGTGTTGCTACTGTTGACCTAGTTAGTAGAGATGTATAAGCTTTTCTTTTCACTTCTTGGCTACATTTCTCAAAATCTTTTTCTTTAATCTTCTTTGGAGAGATGCAGTAGGGGAAGAGTCTAAGATCTGGATTAGAGAAACCTAGCTTGAAATTCTCTGTCCACATTGCTAATTGCGTGAGTGTCAGCAAATTATATAATGGTTCTGGGCCTCATTTACTCACCTATTAAATGGGGATAACACTACCTATTTCTACAGCTGTTGTAAGAACTCATCTGTACAAAGTTCCCAGCATCCTGGAAGATTTTAATACATAGTAATTGTATGTAGAGAAAAAAAAACCCCAAAACAAAAACGATTTTCTTATGCAAGCCAATGAAACCTAGTCATTATGTGTATAAATTGGAAGGTACAAATCACAGTAAGTGAAGAGTTAACTGGCAAAAGGAAATGCTCACTGAGTTGATGAAGTTCTAACTTCAGGGTATTGTTTATTAGTTTCCTCTAATTTGATGCATCTTTAAAGATAACCATTTATATAAATTCTTAAACACTCTCAGAAATTAACCACAGTTCAGAGGCAATAATGTATGATTCTTGGAGCTTTCTCCAGGCTAGTGCTGGGAAGCGGGAGGGAGTAATTGAGCCTCTGGGATGAGTGCACTTTTTCCTGTGGATGCTGGGTGGGATTGAAATTGGTCTTCAAATAAACATGATTCATGGTTTAGTGGAGAAACTGCAAAGTTCCCCATGAAAATGGAATAGCAAGCCAGTTCATTATACTGTAGTTACTGATATTGCAATCTGCTTCCAATGGAGGCAATTAAAATACATTTAGGAAAGAGTGTGATTGGGACTTCTGTTTGTATTCACCTAACCATTAGATGCCTGGACTATGTTTTTCAAGTGAGACTCCTCCACCACCTTTGGGTTCTATTCATTTCTATATCTTAGCACCTGTCACAGATGCCTGGCACATTGATGGTTTTTGTTAATAATTTGCTGATTGATTAGAAATTCCCTTATTATGCAGCCTCTGGTGTGCTTTTGCCCACCCAGTACAGGGATGCTCAGAAACTGCTTATAAAATTACCTTTTTGTGTATATGCATTACACATGCCCCCCTCACCCCAGAGGCTTTGGTTCTCACCTAGTACCAATCTTGAACACACGTCCTCCATGCCTCTTATATTTACAGTAAATGACCCATTCACACCAATGCAATAGTGTGATAACCTGCTTATGCATGAGACTTGCCCTATTTTCTCAGTTTCCTGTAAAGCCCCAAAGCTGAAAGAGCAGACAAGTTCCCCCATATTTTTACAAGAGTGTCAGGGAGCTGGCAGAGGTGCCCTCTATGGCTTTCTGGGTAATCTATTGATACTCTGACTATCACTACCGCCCACCACATCCTAACTATCCTATATAAAGTGAAGACATGACATTTGAAGGAAATTCACCCAACAGTTCATTGATGTGGGGAAATTTAGGCTTAGAGGGGAGTGCTGCGACATGGTCATCTCAAGACCCACATAACAGAGTTCCAAGAAAACTGTCATAGAATTTAGAAATGGGTGCTTCAAGAAGGGGAGGCTGGTGTCTCCTTCTCTGCCTGGATGCTGCTGAGCTCAGAAGTATGGCAGCCATTCTAGCTCTGCCACAGGGAGTGGAGGCAGAGAATTCCCAAAGGACTTGACTCCTTGACACTGGAGCTTAGAGTGATCCCTGAATATAGAGAATGGGGCATAATTACAACCTGGATGATTGTGGAGGTATGAGTGTGGATGGTGCAGCCTGCAATGGCTGGGTTGAGAAAAAGCATAAGAGGGCCAGCATTTGGCAAGCATTTTCCTTGCCATGGAGCTGGCCAGGCTTAAGCCATCTAGAAGGCATCTTCCAAAGAGGGAAGCACATGTGGGAGGGGACTCATCTGTGGAAAGTACCATAGTGGGGGGCAGAAGCTAAGAGATGGTCCAAAGAGCAACTGGAGAGCATGCCACCCCCTCCAGGGCCTGAGCAATATGGCAGTTCTCACTGTGACTCTGAGAACTCACACATATCTCATAAGAAGCCAGCATTTGAAAGTGGGCAACACAGAAGGGCCATCTAGTGTCAGCCAAGGGAGAAAGATAACAGTGACTGTCTAAAGGAGAAAAGAGACTTTTACCTCTTCCTCTAATCCCTCTTCATGCACTGACCCCGAAAAAGGCAGAAGAGAGGGAAGAAGGTGGAAGAACAGGTCATGCTCAATCTCTACTGCAAGTTCCCAAACCAAGTTCAAGCCTGACTGCAGAAGGAGTGGGCAGTGGAGGCAGATAGTGAGGAGAAAAGAAAGGGAAGGGGCCTGAAATTAGATGTGAGGTTCAAGTTTTATTTTAGATCAGACAGAATGTTAGAGTATGTAAAAATCTCCTTTAGCAAGGAGATCATTTGTTAAAAAAAAAAAAAGAAAAAAGAAAAAAACAGATTAGATAATCACTGCATCTAC